CAAAATCTTTGCTGTTATCTGAGTAATTATGTCTGATTTCATTTTTCCCAGATCCTCTTTTGTTGCCAGTTCAGGGAGTCCAGGTGGTTGAGTATCAGAGTGTTCCATCTTGTTTCCCTTTGGGGTTGCTGTAGATGATCCAGAAGTCTGTTTTTGAGGCTTGTTTATGTGTCTTCTCATTTCCATGGTGGGGGGTGCTTTCGGCGCCCACACAGCTCACCTTCTCTGCCCTAGGAGCTTGGGATGGCAGTGGGGGAGCTTCTTTCCAGGTGCTGGGACCAGCTCATCTTCTCTACCCTAGGAGCTTGGGATGGAAGCAGGGAAGCTTCCTTCTGGGTGCTGGGACTGGTTGAGCTTCTCTGCCCTAGGAGCCTGGGATGGAGGCAGGAGAGCTTCCTTTCAGGTGCTGGGACTGACTCACCTTCTCTGCCCTAGGAGCCTGGGATGGAGGTGGGGGAGCTTCCTTCTGGGTGCTGGGACTGGCTAAGCTTCTCTGCCCTAGGAGCTTTGGATGGAGGCGGGGAGTTTCCTTCCGGGTGCTGGGACTGGCTCAATATAATGAAACTTTCAATTCTGAAGTCGTAATGGAAAAAATAATGACAGATGTGTATCTTATAATTATGCCTTTCTTATTTTTATACAAGCCAAAATGACTTTTCAAAATGAAAATTGGGCTAGTACTAAATAATTGTCTCTACTTTCTTGCAACTTTTGCATGAAAAGTAAATTAGTAACAATCAAATTTTGTATGATATAAATAATATTTTCGTGTATAATGCTTCTTAGACTTTAAAAATCAGTCCAATAACAAATGTTCAGATGAATACACTCACAGCTAAAGAACATTTACCAAGTTATGCGTTTCCTGGAGCTCCTATCTCAGTTTGCCTGCAAAGCACAGTTCATTTGCACATGTACAAAAAGAATCCATTTGTCAATATTGTATTACTATAACCTGCAGAAACTAAATTTTTTTGATTCAATAATATATTGGAAGATAAAATTGCAGAAAATAATGCATCATATTATTTAATTTTAGAACTAAAAGTTCATTTACTTACATTCTTTAATAAAAAATTCAGGTATGTTGTTATTGTATTTTTAAGTATTCTTTCACACATAAATCTTTACCATTTACCTAGTTTTATCTTGAAGATTTTCAACTAGATTTATCAAAGTTTCTGTGAAACTTACTTTTCTGATTATTTCATTTTTATGTCAGAAATTCTTCCACAGTAATATCAGTGAAGGTAAAATGTGATGCTAATTTGGTATCTACATGTTGTTCTATTTTTTGCTTGTGGATATAAATTATTGATAATGTGTAGGCTTGGATCTTTCCATCTTCTGAAACAGCAAATTGATGAAACCACCTCCTATCTCTGTCAAGGATTTTAAAGTGGGAGTTTTGTAGAACAAAGCACCTGAAAACAATTTATCTACCAAGGGCCCCTGTTATTCCCCACAAAACCTAGTGTAGTTCTTCACTAGAATGGCAGTAACCTCTGCAGATAATGGGCCCCTGACCCCAGATGTGGTCCCTGCTGCACAGATGCAGACTGAGAGCCCACAGGTGAGCAGGATGTGAGGAGGTGAAGGGCAAAGATCACAGCATCAGTGTTCTGTCTCCTTCACCTGCTAATGATGGAACTCAGGGAAAATCTTATTTTTGTGTTTGATGATTTCATAAAGGCCAAGTCTATATTTCAGGGATATAACAAAGCTCACATTTAGAAACAAATATCTAATATCTTGTCAAAATGTGAAGCAAATGCATGTGATTGTTTTGCAGAAATAGCAGATCCAGGCTATGGCATCATATTTATGACAGGGTTTTCTTCATAGTCAATATCAGCAAGCAAGAAGTCCTGTGTTTTTCTTTCTTATCGAGCACAAAGATAAAGCATACAGAAAAAGATGGTATTGCCATGTAACTATTTAAGATGCTAATATCTATGAATATGTTAAAAAATTACAAACTCCTGGAGAACCTGACAGCTGATAATAGACAGCAATTCCCAAGACATAAAACTCTTTTTAAGAACTCCTTTAAAATCCTTGATTTATAATTAATTTAATTTCCATTTGTTTAAAAAGTACAAATGCACTTCTAGAAGTAAAATGAAAATTCAAGAAATCACTCACCATTCCAACTGTAAATATGTCATTTCCATCCATGTGCCTAATAGAAGGTGTTGACTCTTTCTTAGTTCTTTCAGTACCAAGTTGAGCATTGGAGGGCAGTGAAGATAAACAAAGCTTCCTTTGGTAGGGTTGGTCCTGATAACATAGCCCAGGTAGAACATTTCTGAGTGGACTGTGTTCCATCAGGGTCCCTCCTCCCATTGCTGGTCTTGTCATGCCTACTCATGTACAAGAATGTGGACTCCCATCTCATCTGTTGTTGTGGGGAACAATGCCATGAGACCTTCCACGAAGTGTATTCGAACGCAACTATCCTTTTTCAGTCCATTTACACCAACACTTTGAAAGCGTTCCAGGAATTTGTAAGTATCTTAGTTTTTGTCTCATGCCCAAAACAGCAATTTCATCAATGATAGGGTAAACTACAATGTAAATATAAAGAATTCATTAACCAAATTTTGAATAATGCATTAACATGTTAAAGGAAACATCAGTCAATAATTGAGGAATAAGAAGAAATGGAAAGTTCTATGAAATCTCAGATTGTAATAGAACATAATGAGTTTTTTAAAATTTTCCCTTAACATTCTTAATTATTAACAATTTAAACATCAGGCATAATCACTGTGAAACAAGGCTGAGGAAGAGCACTGGTTTCTTGCTCTTGCATGCAGGTGTTGGTCTATGAGCATTCTTCCCTTAAAGCCCTGCTGATATCTGAGAAATGATAATTGCTTTGGAGTGAATTGCATGGACTGAGTGGCATTAACTAAACTGAAGTCATGGCAGAGGGAAAAAAAATCCCAAAGTAATAGCTTTTTAGAAACCCTTCAGAGCTAGGGATACTTGTTGAAGGATCTCCAGGGTAATAGTTTATAATTAGAATAAAAGGACTGGTTTAGAAGAGGACAAAAGTTTTCCTTCCTTTGCAAAAATTACTTTGAACATTGTCTGTTCCCTTTTCTAGGTTAGAAAACAGATTAAGGCTCAGAACAACCAAGGACCTCCATAGATAACATGGCCCAGTATTTGTGATACACACATATATTCATACAGTTCTCTTTATTCACTCCTGTTTGTTTGTTCCCCATTTTTAAATGGCCATTTTGTATTTTCCAAATCATTCTAGGATCTTAATCCACTATTTAGAATCTCAATCTATTATTTAGAATATCCTAAAAAGCTTTGCTCTGTTTTATTACTTATCATGCCACAATACAAAATTTGAATTGGAATGCATGATGAACTTGGTGATATTCATGTGTATGGATTAAGAGATAATTGAAAGAAATGTAATTCTTAAAATATACTTAAGGAAAGAATGTGAGTTTGGACCCACAGGAAAAAGAGACTAAATAGGTAGATATAGAGGAACATGACGGATGGATTTACCTTAAATACTAGAGAAAATGGTATCTAAAGTACTTACAGCTTTGTAGTTCTTAGTACTCTTACAGTTTGCATTTCAAATAAAACTCATAGGAAGGTGAGCTAACAGGGGCTGAGCTAGAAGGGAAGAGGCCAAGAGGTTACATAAGTGAGTTAAAAACGGTGAGATTGCAGAGCTGATGGAAATACCAGGCAAAATGTTTACCTTCACATTTCTTTAATTGCCTTTTTTATGTAACTTTTGCTTCCAAAAAATGACATATCAACCAAATGCATTCATAATGCAGTAATAGATTCATGTTTTCAAGTTGCAAACCCCAGCTAATTTTATTTTCTTCATAATTTTCAGATAAATAGGAATTCTGGGGGCCCATTTTTCTTTATCCCAGGCATAAAAAAGTGTCACACGGCAGATATCCCTGATCCAGTTTGGAAGGATGCCCTGTACATGTGGGTGAGTCTCTGCCCCAGTTCCCCCAGAACAGCTGAGGCAGCAAGAGGCTGGCTCTGCCCGCCCCAGGCTCTCCGAGGCTCTGTGATCCGTGGTAGCAGTAGTCACACCTGCTGAGAAAAGGGGAAGAGTGAGCAGCCAAAGAATAATTACACTACATAGCCAATAAACTATAAATAAAATCAAATGGTAAATAAAAATTGTACCAGAGCCAGAAATTGACTAGGAAGATGATATTATTTTAACCAACCCCTTGTCCCTAAATTGAATGTATTATGTTGTAGGGAAGTATAATCTGAATGGGATATTCACATACATATCCAGTAAATACAGATGCAGTTTTATTTATCATGGGTCACCGTGACTCCTGCAATGGTCTTATATACAGTACTGACCCGGTCCAATCTGTACTCTCTTCTGGACTCCCAGCGCTCTCCTCCTCCTGGTTCCGCTTCTCTGATGTGGACTTCCTCCCTCTCACTCACTCTATTGCCTCCTCCTGTGTCTCCACGGAAAGTCCCCCTCCATTCGTGTCCTGTTCAATATTGTCTAGCTTCTCACAGGTGGAACTCTGGTCTCTGTTCTGGTGACAAAAAACTCTGTACATGTAGTGCTAATAGCTTATCTGAAGTCTAATTTTTTCAGTTATCTCTATCTCCTGAATCCCTGCCAGAGACACAGTCATAACCTTAATTAAATAATCAGAATTTCAGAGGGAAAACATTTAATGGTATCCATTACAACTCTTTTTAGAGCAAAGTGGTTATGTACATAAGTCAGCTTTTTGTTTGTTTTACTATAGCACAGTGAAGGGCAATTGCTTGAATTGTATTTTTCTTACAACTTCTATCATCTACAGAAACAATTTTCATACATAGGGTAATAACAAAGAAATATAACTTCTGCCTCCCTGAGCAAAAGTCTCCTGTAACTAATCCAGCTGTGTCTCCCTTATTTTATGGTGATTGGTCCAAACCGGCTGCATAGCATAAAGACCTTCTCACTCTGGTGATTCGCTACCTTGTCTCCTGGAACAAACCCCTGCAGGAACTTTCCCGTGTTGATCAGCCTGACCCAGATTATCTTCTTATTCTCAGAACTCAACTACTGATTATTAATGTGAGCAGCCACAAGCTTCAACTAATGCTAAAGACCATTATTAGGCAGGTAAGCAGCCTTTTTGCCTCCTTGGTTTTCTAATCTAATCACTACAGTTTCCATCTGTAGTAAGATAAGTTTTGAAATCACTCACTTTGCATAAGCAATGCTGAAGCTGAATGTTCCATCTTCTACTCTGCTATTAAACAAAATAAGAGCCTCTGGCAACTAAAGTGCAGATTCCAATGAATACAAGTTTTAGGCTTTGCTGTCCTGTGAGGGCCTCTTTCCTGCAGGGTCCCCAGTGCCCCCAAGGACTGTCCCTTCATGGGCTTGGTGGTTAAATGTTTTTCAGGAAAGAAAATCAGGCCAGAGCATGTGCAGAAGAGATGTTTCTTCAAAGTATCTCAGGACAACAACACAGGAATTTTGGTTATATTCTTTCTCTTCTCTCATTATACCAGAGGAACAGACTGAGGGGGAGAAAGAAAAACTCAGTTATGTGGGATGTTCTGCCTTCACCTGCCTAGGCAGAGTAGCCAGGGAGCCGTACCACGAGGGCTGTCTACAAGCACAGATGTTAGTGCATCACCAAAGTAGTGTTTTTATTCTGGAATGTTCCTTTTGTTATAAGTTATAGAATCTTATCCTCAGTTTTGATTTGTTTCTCTGAATGAAAATCCATATCATTACATTTAATCTTCAGAAATAATGTGTCATACTTACATTGAACTGATATTTTCATTATGTATCTCCAGGCATATAGGAAAATTTGAACATTAGTGGGAAAACAGATGAACACTTCTTGGAGTTCTCAGGAAAATGTAGTATACAGAGAAAACTGAATATAGAAATAATAACAGAAACCAATTTATACTTTCATTTTTTCCCTAAATACATGGTATCTTGTGTCAATTTTTTAGGAAAAGGCTACCTCCTGCAAAAGTAAAAAAAAATGTATTAACCAAGGAACATCAGGAACAAACACCCTAATTTCAGTTTTTTTTATAACTGTGAGTCAGATTCCTGAGGTCACTAGTTTGTTCTATAATTCTTACATTACCCTTCCTTTTTTTTCTGCTTCTTATTCATTACTGTGCTTATGGTGATACTTTGAATAAGAAATATTGTCTTAGGTCTCAAACCTCAAAAGTGAAAAAAAAAGCAGAAAGATAGAGTAGTTTCAGTAGATCAGGCTCTACAATTCTCCAGATTTGTACCTCTTACATCTGGAAATGAGCAGCACAGTGGGCCTGGGTCTCTGTTATCTGAGGGTCTCCCAGCTTGCAGAGGCCAAAGGGGGGCTCAGGCCCACTGCTCTCTCTCCTGCTCTGTGCAGCACCTTCCTGAAGCACAGTCTCCCACCCTCAGCACAGCCTCAGCATGGGGTTGCTGGCAGCACCCTCCTTCTTATACATGCTTCTCCAAACTGCTCCCACTCCATGCAAATCAAAAGGATGCAGCTGCCTCTCACATGAAGTCGGAAGATACTTTTCCTGTGTGGAATGAGGGACTCTGTCATTTTTTTTGTCAATGATGACTTGAGTGTCTGAAACTTAACAGCAAGTGCAGAACTCAACATTTCTAAAATCTTGGCACAGATAGAGTATGGAGAATAGATTCATTTCAGAGAATAACAAGAAAACCCTGAACAAGCAGAAGTGAAGTACAAACAGAAAACCAGGGACACATTTAAGAAATGTAAAATTTCCTTAAGCATGAGAATGGGAGTGACCTTGTCCATCACTGCTTGTTCAAACCCATGTCTACATTCAAGTAGTAACTTTCTGGATCTCCACCTGTCCACTCCTGGAGGAATGCATTTGACCTCTGATCACTTGCATGTCAGAAAACAGCACCTGTGTTCTGATTCTAGTTTTTAGGTAACTAATAGTGTTATTAGTCTGATATGCTGGAAAGGATACATGAAAACTTATGCTTTGGCTAAAGTTTTGTATATCCATTACTTCACAAATCTCAATTTAGCAATTGAAAAAAACAAAGATATACAAGCACTAGTATTATTTTTCATAAGCAACTGTCTTCTTGGTGACTAGGTTGACCCTGAAAACTCAAACAAATTGGACTATGCTTCATGGTCGGGACTTCAATACCTGCGGTCATCTGATGAAGAATCTCGCCTTTTCCATTTGTATAATACACTATGCTGCCTGCTGTTTGATGTACCCTAAATTCGCCCTTTTCTCCTGATTCTGGAGCACCGATATGACCCCGTGACATCTGCTAACCCCACATCCATCCCTCCTACTTCTGAGGGGACTTTTGTGATACATCCTTTGCAGAGATTATTGTGGAGTCATGGCTTTGGAACATATGCTTGAGTGTAATGGTTAAGATGCTGCTTCTGAAAACCCTGAAATCTTACTGTTTAGCACTGTCAACATCTTAAAAGTCAGTTTGTCAGTTTCTTTTTTTATTTCACAGAAAACCAGAAGAAAACATATCATCAGCATTGAAAATTTCTAATTAAAATTTATTATAAGTAATAAAAATGACCTTTGCATCTAAGACAAACACTTCAGTATCCCAGTGAACTAATATGAACAAAAGTATTAGATAAAGTGTTAAATTAGAATTTTGATTAGCCATGTAGTAATGCTGGAAAGAAGAATGGATTTTCACAATGCTTCAGTAAGCCAGCCAGGTTCCATGACCCAACTTTCATAGTGTTTTGACAGACAATGCGAGTTCTTCTGTAACTGCTGTGCTCCCAATAGCATGAGTTTACTACACCATCTAAACATTGCTAATCACCAACTGGCTGCAGATTCCTCTAACTCCTGTCTTTAACCACATTCCCCTCAACAGCCATCTCCTTAACATCACCTTGGAAACTCTCCATATGTTCTGCTCACTTTGCATCTAAAACTCCACTCTGGTGAGGTCCAAAGCCAACGAACATATCTTTCTTCTGAATCAGTCTCAGTTACTCTCCTTTCATTCCTTACCCTCACCAGGTGGTCAACTAAGGATTGATTTAAAAGATAATTTTAGGAAAAGGTCTAAAGTTGTAGGGGTGGTGGGAGGGGAAGGGGAAAGGAAAGAAGGGAAAGGAAAAATGATGAGAAAAGAAAAAAATGGAAATGAAATCTATGTAAATGGGGAAGAGTGGAGGGGGTGAAGGGCACACAGGTAATGGGGAAAAAATAAGAACCAAGATACATCATGTACAGGTACAAGCTCCCAATGATAAATGTAAA